ATACCTTAAAGGCATTTCAGAAATCAGCAACAACCCACCCGCGAAGGCTCAAAGGTATAAAAGTGAGCCAGGCATGGTAGTCAATGGCTGTTATCCCAGCACTCGGGGAAGATAAGGCAGGAAAATGGCAAATTAAATCCCAGCCCTGGCAACTTAGTAACTTAGCAGGACACTATCTCAAAATAATAAATGAAAAAGCATTGGGAATGCAGCTCAGTTCAAAGGTCCTGGCTTAAATACACAGTACTATAATCAATCAATAAAAGTACAAAAGTGTAAACCTTTCATTTAAGTCTATAGGAGCACTGCTCAAAAAGGGCCACCTAGGGAATTGGTGCTCTGGGATTCATCACATCTTGTTTAGCCATCCAGGAATTCAAAGACCCCTGCAGCCATGGTCCAAGAAAGCCCAGCTACTGTTCACACTGGTGGCAAACCTTGCTGTCACCCACACAATGCTGGTTGTTCAGGCATGCAGTATACAAGAGTTGTGGGGTCACAGATGCTTCTCAAGGGAAGGTGGGGGGGTCACAGAAGAAGCCCCTGGAGAGGAGCTCATGAAGCCGAGAATAAAGCCAAAGTACAGCAGAGACCCCAGGAAATTGGAGATGTCAAGAACATGGAATACCTGCTGGGGAAAGCTGTAGACCATGAATGGAGCCAGAGAGAGGTCACGTGGGCTGCAGCCCATAAGGCCATAGGGGATGGGTCTGCCCAACCTGCTAGAACATGTATTTTACCACTGTGTGCCGCTGGCTCCCTCTACTCACTTTCTGCTGTGCAGGGGTGGAGTCTGGACCTTCCTTCTGTAACCTACAGCAGGGCAATGATGAAAGTAACTAATGTAAAGGCATTTAGTTTTATCACTAACAGCTTCTCTCTGCCTGAAGTGAGGAACAGTATCACTTTTGTTTTTTTGCTTTTGCATTGAGCATGTGCCACCACATCTGGCGACATACTGCACTTTTCCATCTCTCCATACTCTTCCTCAGGCAGATGCTGCTGTCCTCTATGACACATAGGACAATGAAGGCACAGAGGCAGAACCTGACACTGTTATCATGTGAGATTTCATTCATTCAACAAACATTTATTAAGCGCTTATAGTGTGTCGGGCCCTGGGGACACAGAGCTGAATGGTGTTCAGTCACTGCCCTCGAGGACTCACAGTCTGGGGCAGACAGTAAACACACGAGTGACAATGCGCCATGAAGTGCTGAGGCAGAAGTATGACAAAGTGCTAGGGCATGACAGGGTGATTGATGAACGCTTCCTGGGCAAGGATCAGGGAG